GCCCCCGCCCCCTGGGTCTCCCGGTCACGTGACACTCGCGGGCCAACGGGAACCCCAGTTGGGCGGGGCTGCGGCCAGAGCCAATGGGCGCACTGGGGCCCGCCCTGCAGAAAGTGGGCGGGCAGGGGGCGGGCCCGGGCCGCCGGAAACCTTTGCCGCGCTTCCGGTGGGTCCATAGGCGCGGCCCACATGCTGCGGGGTCACCGGGGACGTGGAGCAGCCCTGGACCGTCACGTCGGAGTGTGCCCGTGTCTTTGTCCCCCAACATTCGAGCTTGCGTGCGCTCCAGTCTGACTCACCGGATCGAGAAACCCCGCGGCCACCCCTCTGCCGCCTGTGTAGGACCAGATGTGCTTTCAACAGGACGCAAGCACAGAGTTTGCCCAAATCCAACTCACTGCTCTGCCCAATCTCCTGACCCTGGGGTAGGGAGCTGAAGAGGGGTCCACTGAGGAAAGTGAGGGTCTTAGGAAATCAGGACTTGCCTTGTATAGGCCAGAGGACAAACAGGTAGAGATCAGTCGAGTCAGTCCTGGGAGGAAATGTGCATTTCTGGGAACAGCTGTGGTACAGACCTCCCTTGTTCCCACCCTAGCCAGCAGCCCATGAAGGTCACTGCCCCAGAGGGCCACCTACCAGGCTATGCAAGGGTGTTCAGAACTCCATCATGTTCCTGGAGAGCAAGCTCCCAGGTCTTCTCCTTCCAGGTGCCAGCAGGAGGCTAGGTTGGGTGAGGCCCTAGGCTGCTTCCAATGCATCCCCTTCCTTTGCTCAGGGAATCCAGTTGGTGACCTGGGAGCCTTAGAAAACTTCAAACCCTCTCAAGAATTGGCAGATTCCATATTCCTGTGGAATCCCTAAGTTTTATTGGAGACCAAGCCTCTCTCTGGATCCACAACCATGGCCTGCCCAGAATTAGGCCCCCAAATGTGCCTGGACCTCATCCCCTTCATTCTGGTCCAGGCAGGTCCCCACACTCCACCAGAGGGACGGTACCCAGACTCTGCCCCTGACCGGTCATCCTTCAGCAAGCCCACTGTGGGAGGAAGGAGGCCCCAAGAGAGGAGGTGGTAACCAGGGCAGAAGCCCTGCCTTGCCTGTCTCTAAACATCACTCCCACTGCAGGTGCTGTGTGTGCAAGGCCCGATGGTAGGCCCAGCTGCCTGCAGCCAGGGCCCAGCGACAGACATCTTCCTTCGGTAGCAACAGCAGTCTGTCATCCTCCAGCCTGCCCAGGAGGCCTGCAGCACCCAGCATCAAGCCCCCCCAAATTCCATAAGTGTTGGTCGTGAAAAGGGCCACAATGAGAATGGTTACTGCTACCACCAGCACCACCGCCTGACCAGCCACAGAACGGCCCTCTGCACCAAGGTGGTCACCAGCCACTGCCAGCACCATGCCTCCTCCCAGGAGCAAGTTTGCAGAGGAGCGGTCCCCATTCACCCAGTGGAAATCGAAGGCCAGAAGGGGCAGGCCAATGACAGTGGCCACCCAGGCTCCAGCAAGACAGTCTTCATCTGTGCCCAGCCCTGGGGCCAGCATGGTGGCAGCAGCCAAGGCCTGGAGCAGGAAGCCAGCAGCAGCCCCTCGATTTGCCTGTCAACACAGGGAGGGGAGGAGATGTGGGAAAAAGAGACTAGGGCATTCCTTTAAACAGGGGTGGGTCTAGGGGTCTCATGAAAGCCTGGACTCCAGACTCACCTCCCACCACCCACTCCCTGACGCAAGGAACTGGCTAGGTCCTGGGGGTTAAGGAATGGGATACTCCCCTACCCAGCCCGTGTACTCACCTGGACAGTGCTCACAGCTGCATGCAGAGACACCACTCCCAGCGCCAGGTGGGACAGGGCCATGCTCCACTCACCCCATGGCTTGGGTGCCATGGCACATCGGGCGGTAGTGAGTTTGAAAAGACAGGAAGGGGCTGCTCAACTTCGGAGAGTTAAGAAGGAACGCAGGAGCCGGTCACCTGGTGCCCTAAGGGAGGCTCTCGAGGCCTCCCAATTTCCAGAGCCCCGTTTTTAAATGTTGGGATAAGCTCATCGAAAGCTTTCTGGAGCTCTGAGGCCACTGGACGCCACGGTGGGGGAGAAAAACCTATTTTGGCCGGGAAATTAAAAAAGAAAACGGGGGCGGGTTGGGCAGGTGTGAGCCCTGGAACCCAAGCGGGGGCGCCGGGCCTGGGGACGAGCCGCGCGGGACGAGCGAAGGCCCACTCGGCCTGGTCCCTCCGCTCGGCGAGACGTCGTCTCCGGAACCCAGTCCGGCAGGAGCGACAGCACAGGCCCTCAGAGCCGACCCATCTGCGCGGCCCTGAGCCGCGGCAAACGAGAGGCCGGACCCTG